ACAGCAGGGTAGGAAAAGGAAAATTTGATCAGCCTAACAGAAGACATGGAAAAAAGAAAAAATGATAGTAATTAGGAAACATAATAAATGAAAGAAATAAGGCCATTTTACATTAAATTGTAAATGTTTACAATTAGTATTAACTAATTAATTACATTACATTAATGACATTAGTTTAATGTGTATTAGCTAATGTTATTAATGTAATTACTTAAATTCATGCATTAAAAACAAAGCTCAGGGCCTGGTGCAGTGGCTCATGCCTGTAATCCTAGTACTTTGGGAGGCCAAGGTGGGATAATAGCTTGAGGCCAGGAGTTGGAGACCAGCCTAAGCAACATAGACCCCATCTCTACAAAAATTAAAAAAAAAAAAAAATCAGCGAAGCATGGTGGCTCATACCTGTAGTCTCAGCTACTCTGGAAGCTGAGGCAGGAGGATTGGTGAAGCCCAAGAGTTTGAGGTTGCAGTGACCTATGATGATGCACTCTTAACTTGGGCAACAGAGTGAAACCCTGTCTCAAAAAACCAAAAACCAACCAAGCAAACAAAAAGCTCAGGTTGTGGAAAAAACCCTATAAATTCAATCATACGCTATTTACAAAAGTCCCACAAAATCAAAATGATATAGAAGGTTCAAAATAAAGGGATATGAAAAACTAAAAGCTGTATAGAAGAAAAAATAAAATTTCAGGTCAAAAACATTAAAAAGGGCAAGGAGGTATATTTCGTATATAATGTTCTATGTAATTATCAGTATATAATATTTAATAATATACCATATAAACATAGATCAGTATATAGTATATATTGTTAAATGTTATATATATAAATTATCATGAACCTTTATATACCTAACTCCTAATTATAAATAGAGCCTATAGTTAGAGAAATTGATGAATTGACAAAATCATAATTAGAGATATTTTATCACCTCTGTCATAAACTGAAAGATCAAGTAGACCTAACATAAGTAAGAAAACGATTAACAAGTTTACTCTAAAAGATATATAGAGCTTTATGCCCAACAGAAAATAAGCATTGTTTTCAATTACCCATGGGACATTAGCAAAAATTTACTATGTGTTAGGCTATGAAGAAGATGTCAACAAGTTCTAAAACGTAGACATCATGCAGGACACATTGACTGTCGACAACATGCTGAAATAAGAAATAAGCAACGAATGAATAGCCAAAAAATTTAAAAAGCAAAAACACCCTCTCCACTTGGTATTTGAAAA